TACACGCCCACCGCCACCCTCTAAAACTCTATTCCCGGTGATTATCTGACAAGTCCGAGCTGCTTTGTAATGAATGTTACGAGATCGGGGCTGGTCGTGAATTAGAATAGCAGAGATTGTAAACGCTTCCAGTAAGAAGGGGACTACAACGCCGGCCTGCATCCGTTAGACTTGCCGTACGTAGGCACATCTGTTGCGATTCAAGCCACGCTCTCATAAGGTAGTAGGAAAAGTGCCGCGGATCATATGAGCAGGGCTCGTGTCAACGCAGGACAGTGTTACGCCCTTGCGATTTTCGCTAATGGGTTTAACGAGGGCGCCAGCTGAGCATTAGCATCTTAACACGATGCGCAGGTTGAGGAGTCGTGGGCGACGCGCGGATGCCAGTGCACACTCGTGCCGGAGAAGAAACGCCAGGACTACGTCAGGGCTCTGCAGCAACCAAAGGCGATTGATAACTCGTTATTAAAACCTACACTACACACTGCGCAACGCAACTGCGCGCGCGCAGGGCACTCAGCGCACGCACGCCTAGCACATGTAGGCAAGCACTCAGGCCACTCTTAGCCAAAACATATGTGATGCCCAAGTAACACGCTTACAGTCCGAGCCTAGCACTACAGCCAGGTTCAGTCCTGCCACTACATTTATCGATACACACACACGTGCGTGTATGTGTCAGCTCGTGGCTACTCCACGCCCGCCCAGCCTGAATGCCATAATCCTATCATGGCCACTAAGTATGTTGTGTAAGGCGTCGTAAAGCCTACTGTATATATGTATAGCGATCAAGCGTGTATAATTTCTTGAGAACGTCAGAGTAGAGAAGAAACTGGCTGTAGATCATGACTGCGACGCTATTATATATATATATAAATAAATAACTAAATATAATATATATATAAACACCTATGTCGTAGTTTGTGTGTGTGCGCATGCCGCTGCGTGCCGTGGCGCGCAGCGCGCGCGCGTGTGTGTGTGTGTGTGTGTGTGTGTGTGTGTGATGTGTGTGTGTGTGTCGCTGTGTGTGTGGTGTGCCGTGCTTCGTCTGTGTAATTCGTTACGTGCGTGTAATGTGCGTGCGTGCGTGCGTTGAATGTGTCATCGTGTGTGCAGCGTGATACGTGCGTGCGTGCGTGCGTGCGCAGTGTTTCTGATGGCAATATTTCTGCAGCCAGCGAGCGAAGCGACAGCAATATCAACTTAAATCACAAATCCTGAGAGCCGCAGCGCGCAGAGCAGAGCGCTTGAGCAGAGCGCGCAGAGCAGAGCAGAGCTGCGCGCAGAGCAGAGCGCAGAGCGCCTTGGTTTGTGCATACTAGTTACATCGCCATGCTCCGTTAGATATGCAAATTAGCTTCCTACGCAGAAACTTCCTACAAAAAACCCCCACTGCAGCGAGGAAGCCGCTAACCAGGCATGTCAACGGGTGTCAGTTGTGTTTTTTTTACCAGAGTCACGCACGGGGCGAGGCACGCGGTGGTGGTAAATTGCGTGGGGGTGTAGTGTGTACTCTCAACGCACAAAGTTTACTCGATGCATAATTATTAATTACTGTTTTGCCGTGTAGTACTGGGTGATCCGCGAGGCCATTGTATTAGGAGGTATTCACGTAGAGATTCTCTATTCACGTACTCCTGATTCTATGTGGAGCAATCACTCCGCTGCTTGTCACTGAGACGAATGACGTTTACACGGGCAGAGACAAGCCACGTTCTAATCATCTACGACCATCAAAATCACTGAACCCATTTCTATAACATTTAAATAACATATAACATTCTAATAACATTTAAATAACCAATTTTGCGTATACATACATACAAAAATCCACACCCATATCAGTAACTTTATTACCACAGAGTTAATCAAACGTAGAGGGTTGCACATACTATATAACGTCTTATAGGATACTTGTAGTCACTACAGCAGTCTATGACTGAGTTGTATCCACTACAGCAGCCTACGATACTAAGCCGCAAGAGTTAGAATTACATTCACTAACGAAGCCAGCCTAACTTTTAAATGCAACAAATGCAGCAGTCTAGGGTTAGAAGTAACTGATGGCATCTAATAATACAATCGATGGGAGCATACGCAGCGGAATCACAATAGCGAAACGTATGTTTTACAGTTCTTTCTCGTACGTGCGTAAGAGACTTACCACGCATGCGTGTATTTTGTCAACCTCGCTCCTAACGTCTACCTGCTGTACAAATAGGAACACGTTGCTTTAGGAATGGGAACGCCAAAGAATGACACCGCTGCTAGAATCGAACTCACACGAGACATACTTTGGGGAAAATGTGTACATACACGTACAGCGACAGTATATGAATATGCAAAACTGCATTTGCCTAAATGACCATTTTCAAAATGTGATCCACGAGAAAAAAGGGGCGGGAACAATGCTCGCAATATAAGTCTATATGAACACACCAAAGTAGAGGGTGGCTTCCTTCAGCCATAGTGTAGAGACACCTAACACAGAGAGAGGGAGAGAGGCACAGAGCAAGAGAGATCGTAAGAAAGAAAGAGATAGGGGGAGGCACAATGAATATGGGGGAGGCAGACGAAAAGAGAGAGAGAGAGAAGAGAAGAGAGAAGCAGAGATGAGAGAGAGGAAGCAGAAGGGAGACAAGAGGAGAGAAAAAGGAAGAGAAGAGACGATAGAGAACGAGAGTCGGGCAAAGGAGAGAGAGAAGAATAGAGAGAGAGAGGAGCAGAACAGCAACTGTTGAGGAGAGAGAGACGAGGCGATGAGAGAGAGAAGAAACGTAAGAGTTCGAGCAATAAGGACGGAGAGGGGATGACAGATGAGAGACAGCAGAGATGATGAGAGCGCAAATTACATGCTATCCTAACAGTTCCCAGGACCCTGCGCACCGGCGCACGCGCGGAGAACTAGAGCGAGGGAAGGAGAGAGAGAGAAGAGAGAGAGAAGAGAGGAGGAGAGAGGAGAGAGACGAGAGATGAGAGAGAGAGAAGTAAAGCGACGACGAGAGAGAGAGAGAGAGAGAGAGAGAGGAGGCGGGGCAAGGGTGGAGACGAGAGAGAGTTTCCTGCCTGAGCCCTGATCCATTGAAGCTCATACCCATGCGATCAAGGAGGTTCATTTATAATGGCAGCAATTCTGCAACTCCTGGACAGCACCATTAAACTACCGGGGTTTATGATAATCTGTATAGAGAGAACGGTTGGGTAACCATGGAACCTTATCTCACACTACCCATAGATTCTAACATTGACGCCTACACCTGAGGGACGGAGCATATGTTGGCTGTGGTGACCAGCATCTAAACTGTAGGGCCAATACACCAACTACTTGTACGTACGCTCTTATCTGGTTTCATAAACATGCCTAAACTGGCAAGAACCATGCACTCCTTCACACGACGCACACACGCATGCATCGGATGAGACGAGAGAGAGACGAGAGACGAGAAAGAGGAGAGAGAGAGAAAAGAGAGAGCAAGAGAGAGAGGACGCGAAGAGACGTAGAAGAGAACGACAGGAGAAAGAGGAAGAGAGACGACACAGTCCCTCCTATAAAGAATCAACCCAACTCAGTGCCGTCTCCAATTTCGAAATCATTAACATCACCGCCAGTTTAAGCGATCATGCAAATTTCATTATTTCATTCGTATTCCCTGCGTGACACACCTTGT